CCTGGGGGTGGTGAGAAGCCTCTTGGATCACGGCGCGTCGGTGAACCAGACCACCCTGACCAACTCCACGCCGCTGCGGGCTGCTTGCTTCGATGGGCACCTGGAGATCGTGCGCTACCTCGTCGGGGAGCGCGGGGCTGACCTGGAAGTAGCCAACCGTCACGGACACACTTGTTTGATGATTTCTTGCTACAAAGGGCACCGAGAAATCGCACGTTACTTGTTAGAGAAAGGAGCCGACGTCAACCGCCGGAGCGTGAAGGGGAATACGGCCCTGCATGACTGCGCCGAGTCCGGCAGCCTGGAGATCCTGCAGCTCTTGCTCCGCTCCAAAGCTCGCATGGAGAAGGATGGCTATGGCATGACTCCTCTGCTAGCTGCCCGTGTCACCGGTCACACCAACATCGTGGAGTATCTCATCCAAGGAGGGCTGCAGCAGGAGGAGGAGGAGGAGGTTGCAGGGAACCAAAATGGGACCTGTGCATCAGGTGGGAGCCATCAGAGGTGCAGCAGCGCTGGCAAGGAAACTCCTCAGGGCTGCGATGAAGAGGGGTGTGAGAGATGCTGTGCCTCAGCTTCCAGTCAGGATGAGCAGCAGGTCCCTAACGTGTTCTGCACTCGAGAGGCTGCTGTGGAAGCACTGGAGTTGCTGGGCGCTACGTTCGTGGATAAGAAACGTGACCTTTTGGGAGCCCACAAGTACTGGCGAAGGGCGATGGAGCTTCGGTGTGAGGGTGGGCAATACCTGCCTAAACCTGAGCCCCGGCAGCTGGTGTTGGCCTACGACTATTCCCGGGAAGTGAGTTCGCTGGAGGAACTGGAAGCCTTGATTACGGATCCAGATGAGATGCGCATGCAGGCGCTGCTGATCCGAGAGCGCATCTTGGGTCCTTCCCACCCTGACACTTCCTACTACATCCGTTACCGAGGGGCGGTCTATGCCGACTCCGGCAACTTCGAACGTTGCATTAACCTGTGGAAATACGCTCTAGACATGCAGCAAGGCAACCTGGAGCCTCTCAGCCCGATGACTGCCAGCAGTTTCCTTTCCTTTGCTGAGCTTTTCTCTTACGTGCTTCAGGATCGCTCCAAAGGTACTTTAGCTACGCACTTGGGCTTCTCTGACCTCATGGGAGTGCTGAGCAAAGGGGTCCGGGAGGTGGAGAGGGCACTCGTGCATGGCAAGGACCCTGTGGTTGACTCGGCGCAGTTCACCAAGACGCTGGCCATTATCCTCCACTTGGTCTTCTTGCTGGAGAAGGTGGAGTGCACCCCGGAGCAGGAGCACCAGAAGCGCCAGACTATCTACCGCCTGCTAAAATGCAGCCCCCGGGCCAAGAACGGCTTCACTCCTTTGCATATGGCTGTCGACAAAGATACCACCACAGTGGGACGTTATCCCGTGGGCAAATTCCCATCGCTCCACGTTGTGAACTTGCTTCTGGAGTGTGGGGCTGACCCAGATAGCCGTGACTATGACAACAACACCCCGCTGCACATCGCCGCCCGCAACAACTGCCCGCTGATCATGAGTGCCCTGATGGAGGCTGGAGCCCATATGGACGCCACCAATGCCTTCAAGCAGACTGCTTATGAGCTGCTGGATGAGAAGCTGCTCACCAAGAGCATGATGCAGCCCTTCAATTACATCACCCTCCAGTGCCTTGCTGCTCGCGCCCTGGACAAGCACAAGATTCCCTACAAGGGTTTCATCCCTGAGGAGCTGGAAGCTTTCATTGAACTGCACTAGGGTGGGAGGCCTGAAGTCCCCAGCCTTTCCTGTCACCTCCTTCACCCCGCAGAGGTAGTGCAGCCTGAGGTCCCAGGCCATCCTTGCCGAGATGCCGAAGGCCATCGCTGTGCTGAGATGGGCTGCGAGCTTTGTCCTCATCTGTCACCCTCAAGCTGGTGTGCGCAGGGGTTAGGGGAGGCGGAGGCTCGAGAGCTCGTGGCTGTCCCTCATTGTTGTCATCTTCAGGTACCAGCTATCTCCAGTGCACTGTATCCAGAGAAGGCCACAGCCCCTGTCCTTTCCCATGCCAGCCGGCTTGTCCTGAGAAAGAAGGAGAATGGAGATCCCTGGGACCTGCTGCCTCTCCCATTAGAGCTGGATTAACTCAGCGTTTAGCTTTGGAGCAGCTACACATCACACGTGCTCTAGCCCTTCCCATCCCAAATACCGACCAGATAGGAATGCAAGTGAGGAATAAAATACCTTCCCATTAATTCTTTTCCCACTCCCTTCTCAGATTTGGTACAGTACGAGTCTAACAGCCGGGTGGCTTGTGCTCTGCTGAGGTAGTTGCCTTGTGTGGCAGTAGGGCTGGTTATGCTGAGGATGGTTTTTTTTCCTCCCTTGGTTGGCCAAGTAGCAAGTGGTGTTAAAGGCCTGAGATTTCAATGATTGTGCGTAAAGCTGGGTTGTTTTTTCTCTTTTAGAGCCAGGCCCTATCTATGCTGCAAGACTTCTTCAATCCTGTAAGATATAGTAAGGTCAGTTCTGGTTATATAGTTCTATCAATAGATGTTGGGGTTTTGGTGGTTTTTTATGAATGGGGAGGAAAAACTGCTACTTTAAGAACAAAACGTGGAGTTCAGGCCCTTAGCTTGCCCATCCTGCCCACCTTCACTCCCTTCCCTGCATGGAGGTCCTTTAGCTCTGGTGGTCAGCAGGGATTGAGCTGTGCAGGGTGGAGATGACCAGGTTCCCAGTGCACTTTGAACTATCTATCTTGTGAGGATGTGTTCTCGCAAACCCTCTAGGCTGGGAGGTACTCGTAGCGTGGGTGGTGCTCGGAGGGTTCTTACAGCAAGTGAGTGTTGGTGGCACGTTTGCATGAGGGTGGTCTGAAGGAGGAAACACACGAACGTTGAAGGTGCCGCCTTGTTCTGAGGTTTATCGGTATCAACCCAGTGGGCTCTGTTTATTATCTCATCTGAAAACCAGCCTGGAGTGGGTGGTTAGCACTGGTTTTGGCTTTTGATTCTTTCTGCAACTTTTCCTGAGGATGGTGCTACTTCAGTGATTGAATTTGAAATCTCATTTGGCTCCTCTTTGGGCAAACTCTTTAATGAAGATCTGCACACAACTTGGTTTTTTCTCCTGAAATCTGTAGTCTCAGGGTAGGTATTTGCCTCCATTAGCAGAACCCTCCTTGGTGGTAAACAGCCAGTGTTGGTAAACATGATGCTGTTCCCAGCAGTTTTATCTTCTTGCAGGGGGAGTGACTGGGCTTTGGCAGCCTCTGGCTCATTTCTTGGCCCTGGGCAGAGTGGAAAGCACAGTTGGGGGTGAAGCAGCTGCCTCTGAGCTTTGGGAAAGGTCAAGACTTGGGAGAGCAGAACCCTGATAAACAACCACGCACTATCTGCTACTGACGCTTCTCTACTTGTATTTATAAGCCAGCGTATCCATAGGCCTCAATAATCCAATGCTCTCTGCCCCTTAAACATACTGTAGATCTGCTATTACATTTTTGCAGTGTTAACTATAACAGTTATTTATAAAGCAAGGAGGTTTAACTTTTATTGACATGTAAAGTGCAGAGTTAGTTGAGCTACATTCTTTTTTTTTTTTTTTTTCCTTTTTTTTTCTTTTTTTCCTCTTTTTTGGCTGAAACCTGAACTAAACTGCAGGAATGGAATTTGTTCATTTGTGAGCTGATGAGCGCTCTTAACTTTAAATAATAAAACAAACAAAAAAAAATGGCTGCTAGAATGCAAGTGCCTTGGACTTCTTGCTGGTAAGCCTCTTATTTTCAGCTCGTTTCCTAGGGATGGTACATTTGTGGGTATGGAAATTCTGGGTGTTTGCAGTCAACAGATGTGGTTGATTCATTTATCTGAATTTATTCCTGGGCAAAGCTGATCTGCACTGCAATTGCAAACATTTCCCCTGAAAAAGGATAACACTGACACTGAAGTGACACCTCTCTTGATGTACTTTGCCTTATCTCTTGATGTAAATGAAACACGGAAAGGATGCTGCTCTCTCAGCTCAGGTATGACCTGCCTTACGTGCAGTTGGGACTGTGTGGCTGGCATCAGTTTCTGTCAATCCCAGAGCTGTCAGTGGGAGGTCAAAACCAGACAGAGGAATTAAAGATACTGGAGTTAAGTTCTACACAAGAATTTGGATTTCTAAAAATGCTCAAGTCTTCCCCAGGGAGGATGGGAGCAGATGGATAAAATATTTGAATGTTTGTCTCTTCATTCATTGCTCCATCCTCAAAAATAATTCCTGATGGTTTGATTGGTGTTGCTGCCTTCATGCTCGATGTGACACTGGAGCAGTGTCTGCACTTCTGTGGGACCTGCTTCTCCCACTGAAATACAACTGCTGTGCTGGGGGTGATCTTCAGGGACGCAGGAGAGCAGCTGCCACCTCAGGTACAAGGAACCAGAGAGCCTCAGGACTGAGGCAAGGCTGATCCTGGCTGTGGTGCTCTGCAGTCCCACCTCCTACACCGAGCTGCTGGGAGGAGAGGGATGGGAAGGGACTTCATCCACAGCTGGGATGGGGAAGCAACTCTGGAGCCATGATCTTGTGTTAGATAGCTGGGGATCCAGTCATGTCCAACAGCCTCAAGGAGGAGAATATTTGGTGTCATAGAAAAAGGCCTTTAATTCTTTTTCTTTTTTAACACATAAATAATCTGCAGTTACACAGTAAGGACCCAACAATTAAATGTTGATAGTAATTAACTGAGTGGGAGCAGTCACTGCATGAATTTAGGGGTAATGACAACGAACAGTTCTTATTTAGTGTAGGTGTGGTCTGGGCCACAGCTCCAGGGTGTGGGGCAAAACAAGGAGCAGTGAAACTTTGGTTATCTGAGTAATTATCTTGGACAGAGACTGGAGTTGTTTTTTTCACTGGGGTGGCTACAGACCCTCCTGTAGCACCAGGCTCTCCAGGAGCCACCAACCAAATATCTGTATCTATTCCTTTCTTAAAACCTAGGACAAGCTTTTCTCTCTCTAATCCTGGTGATTAAGGCTGCCATACAGGTTTCTTTAGAAATGCAAAAGTGGTGAGACATTCACTGGGATTTCCCTAGAGCCAGGTGCCCTTTTAGGGACATCTTTGGAGCTTCCTAATCCCCTAAAATCAGGGTTTACAAAGAAAGTGCCCTAGAGCATAAAGACAGGGATATGCTGTGAGCATTTCCCAGAGAAACTAGGGAAGAAGGAGGGGGTCACAGGCACAGGAGGGGGTCACAGGCAACACGTGTTTTCTCCTGGTGCAAACAAGGTCCTGGTGGCCAAGCTCCCTTTCCATGGCTGAGCAGCAAAGAAGGTCCAGCAAATGTAGGAAGAAGAACCTGCTGCTGTGGTTAAAGCAGGTTCCTGCTGTGGTGGAAGTTGCTCTCAAAAACCTTTGAGCCTCTTGTCCCTCCACACACTGTAAACCTTAAAAAAACCCCTAAAACCCCAACCTTCTCATGTTTTACAATCTACTGCCATGTCTTCCCCTCTCCCTTGCTCCACTCCAAGTGAGCTTGATGTCACTGTGTCAAGGTTGTTTACAAGCTAGAGCAGCTCCCAGTTGCCCACTTTTACATGCCATTTATTTATAGAAAGCAGAAGAGCTGGGGAAGGAGTGATGTATAGATGTTTTCTCCTGAGGGGAGGGGTTGTCCTGGTGGCTGCACAACAACAGGCAGGAATTGTGGTAACACAACACCTATTTGAACAAAGGTGACGTAGAGGAGAGGAGAGAAAATAGGGAAATAGAAGGAATCCAGGCCTTGGAGGATTCCAGCAGGCTCTATAAAGAGTAAATGAGTTAATTCATTGTCACTGGATCCTGTGAAGCTAAAAGCCAAACTGTTTCAAAGCTGAAAGCCAAACTGTTTCAAAGCTGGAAGCCAACAACTGATGGCAGCTTTTAAATAGCAAAGCTTTTATGTGGTTCTTGTTCTGCTCAGGATTTGTCCAAGCCTGGTGTCTTGTGCTAGTTCTCAGCCGAGGAAATCCAGGAGGATCTAAACCTCCTTGAGGTGGGTGGCAGAGAGACCCTCTATGGACAGATCCATGGACAAGAACCCGTGCTCTCCCAAGGATTTAAATCCCAAACTGTGACAGCCACTGCGCTGTTGTAGTTGAAGAGTTGGGACACATCATCTCTCAGCTCCTACATCTGGTGGTGCCCAGGAGCTCCAGAGCTTGCTCTGAAGGTCAGTCAATGCCCAGGCTCTCCAGCATCATCCTGCAGACATCCAGGGCCCCTCCTGAGGAGCAGAAGCTGCTCAAAAATAAAAAAGGCAGCAGTTGCAGCTTTCAACACAGGGCAGGTGGAGGGGACTGTCCTTTATGCTGTTCCCTGCTGTCCTCTGAGGAGCTGGGATGAAGGAGAGACTCCTGTTCTGTTCCCTGTGCTGGGGACTCACACCTCAGCACTGAGCTTTGCTGAGTGGGCTGGTTCTGGTTTGGGAGGACGTGTGTTGTGCAGAAAGATCTTGAGGGAGCTTGAGCCAGAGAGGAAGAGTGAGAACTGGGCAGTGACCAGAGTGTTCCCTGAGAGGGGATGAATGTCAGCTCAACAGTCTCTTCTCCAGGGCTTATTAATGTCTTTCTTAGGCAGGTGCTGGTTGTAAAACTTGGGTGGTTCTTGGACAAAGACTGTAGTCCAAAATGAAGCCGGGTGAGTGCCCAGCTTGGCTGGGCCCAGGTCCAGGATGGCTTGTGAGAGTCCTGCGCTTTGGCTGCCAGACCGTGCTGGCTCCTCTGGATTTGGAACCTGCTGGGGCCTCTCTTCAGAGCGACAGGAGCTCACACACATCTGCAGAAACACCCGACACAGCGTCACACCCCGTATCCATCACACTGTCCCTTGAGGTCCATCTTGACAAGGACTTGGCAGCTCTCAGGCTCCTTCCCGGGGTGAGGAGCAGGGCGAGCGCTGCTTGCAGAGGTCCTGGCGTGGGGTGAGTTGTCTCTGGAGCTCAGTGCTCTTGGCCGGGCTCTGCTCTGCAGAGGGAGCAGTCTCCTTTCTAGATTTCTGGTTGTCTGGTGGCTTTGGGCTGACCTCTACTGACAGAGCAGGCAAACGGCTGCTGCAGAAGCAGTTGAGGTCTGGAGCTTTGCTTCTGGTGTTAAAATCTCAGCAGAGATGTGGCTGGCACACCCCTCACCCAGGTCCTGCAGAACACAGCCCCCATTCCTGGCCTTTCTCCACCCCTTTTGTAATTCTCTGGTTTAAGCTGAAAGAGGGGAGGTTTAGATGAGATATTAGGAAGAAGCTCTTCACTGTGAGGGTGGTGAGACAGTGTCCCAGGTTGCCCAGAGAAGTTCTGTCTGCTCCTCCCTGGAAGTGTTCTCGGTCAGGCTGGATGAGGCTTTGAGCAACCTGGTCTAGTGGAAGGTGTCCCTGCTGCTGGCAGGGGGGTTGGGACTGGATGAGCTTTGAGGTCCCTTCCAACCCAAACCATTCTATGATTTTCCATGAAACTTTCTCCTCAAAGGCAGTAACCTAACCAGGTGGAGCAATCTCTGTAGGGAACATCTCTCTGTGCAGCAGCCTCTCCTCTGGTCCCACCTCTGACCTGACACAAGCAGGTGAGGATGGAGGAGTGAGTGAGCACTCAGCTTCTGCCTCCTCAGACTTTCTCTGCATTTCCCCTCTCATTCCACCCTCAGTAAGTAATTTTTTTGTTTTCTCCAAACACAGCTTTACTGTAAAGATTCTTTCGTAGCTGCTTTGCCTCCATCTGGTGTTTGATCTCAGTTCTTGAACAGAATTTTCTTAAACACAAAAACACTTCAAGCCTCCAGCAGCGCCTGGGAATTGTGTCTTTCACAAACCCAAAACTTCTCTCTCTGTAGTTTCAGAGGGGAACTGGGAAAAATGATCTCTTGATGCCTCAGCCCAGAGGCCTCCAGCCTCTCAGAAGGTTGTGAAGTTGGTTTCCTGAACCTTCCTGGGTCTGGAACTGGTGCTACTGGTGCGGTGCAACGAGGGGAGCGCTGCAGGCACACACACCAAGCAGGCAGCGGCGTGAGAGGGTTCTCTGCAATCCCAAAGAGAACTGCTGGGAGAAAACTGGGACCTCGTGGTGCTCAGCACCTTGACAGAGGTCACAGCGACTCCCCAAAGCATCCCCTAAAGATTTGCCCTCAAATGATTTGGTCAGCAGCAGATTATGAGACAGAACCTTGGTGTGTCATCTTCCAGCCCCCTCCACCCCAGATAACAGGTTTCCCCACATCCCTGACTGCTCCTTTGCCAATTTTACAGGAAAGAATCAGAGAAAGACAAATAAATTCATTAAAATTGATTTATAAAACCTGCCAGTAGTCTCAGAAAATCAAGAAAATGGGTTTTTTTTTTTCTTAGTTACTTGAAAATAAGCACAAGAAAAACAGTCTCAGGAGATTGCAACCTCTTGTAGGTAATTTTCTGTGGTGCTCCAGGAAAGTGGCACCTTTTACCCCCAGTGAAATAAGAACAGTCCCACTCCCAGCAGAATCACTACGATCTAAGGTTTGAAACTTCAGTTTGAATGTCTCCAGCCTTGGCTGACCTGTTGTGTCTCTGATTAATGCTTCTACCTGGTTTCTTCCTCACCGTCCCGTGGACCTGGTGTGACAGTTTCCACCTGCATCACGTTGTGGTTCCCGATCTGAACCATCCGGGCGTGTTGAATGATGAGGGATGGGATGCCTCCTGGACCTGGCATCAGGTTGTACTGGCCTGATGGGAGATGAAGTGGTTGGAAAGGAGGGGGAACCACGTGAGCAGGCGTGGGGTGACCAGTGAGGGGAGGTGGGTATGTGGCAGGAGGGACAGTCGAAGCTGGGGGACACCACTGTTGGGGTGATTGCTCCAGCGACTGTGGCCGTGTTGTTGATGGAGGCACCTGGGGAAGGGAGCTGAGGTTCAGAGCAGCCAACTTCTGCTGTGTTTGATACTGATCCCAGTAGAGCTGTAGTTTCTTCTTCTGCATCCTGTCCCACATGGCTTTCCTCTCATTGATCCTGGTGCTGTTAAAGGTGTTCTGTACTGTCCTGGAGAACCCAGGAGAGTTCTCATCCAAGGGCATCAGCCCACCAAGCATGCTGGGAATCTGACTCCGCTCCAGGGGGTTCTCCTTGGGTACAAAAGGGATGACTGAGTTGCGCTTGGATGGTTTCAGGATGGATTCCATCAGAGCAATGTTTGTCTGAAACATACACAGGTCGCACGGGAAGTTCTTGGTCAGCAGAAGGATGATGAAAGCAGAGTTTTCCATAGCATCCTGGAAGCAAGTCATGTGGCTGCGTCCAGCAATGAAGAAGTCCTCAGAGAGTGTGGCACCATTGGGAACTCCCATCTTCTCCAGCAGGTCCTTGACCCGATGGGCAACAATCTCATCTTCACTAGCGTGCAGGACAACAAAAGTGAAGAACTTTGTCTCTTCACCATCTGGCTCTGATGTGGGCACCGGTTCCACAGTTTGGAGCGGAGGAGGCCAGGCTGGGGAGGGGGATGAGTGGATGGGAGGAGGATATGACAAGTTGGAAGGAGGTTTGTGAGGAGCAGGGGGAAGGGTTGAGGAAAAGGAATAGGTAGGAGGAGGAAGGGAACGGGCTGACATGGAAGCAGGTGCAGAGTTAGAAGAAATGCCTGCTGGAACATGGGAGTCCTTCCTGGAGGTATGGGCAGGACCAGTCTCCTCTGTAGCTCTTGAAGCAGGAAGACCTGTGGAGAACTGCTTTTCATTTGGCTTTTTGTCTGTGCTTTCTTCTGGTGTGTGAGTTTCTGCTGCCATTGTGTTGGAAACATCACTGCTTTCCACAGGTTGGGTCACAGCTCCCAACGTGGGCAGCTGCATTTCAGGAGCAGAGAGAGTTGGATGATGTGAACTGACCTGTGGAACCTCCAGTGGTTGGGAGACTTGGACACTTGTGTCCTGCCCGGGATGAGATTTGGGTCTGCTGGGCCAGCTTGTTTCCTGCAGGCCGTGGCTCTGTCTGTCCCCATCAGGCTGTCCAGCACCACTGGAGCTCCCTTCACACAGCTGGCTGGGCTGGAGGACACGCTCACAGGGAGGAGGTTGGGTGTGAAACACAACCGTTGGCGACGCGCTGATCTCGAAGCGACTGGGGAGGGAGGGACTCCCCAAGGACCGCAAGGTCTGTGGGCCTGAGGGGTCCGAGTTGCCTCTGATCTGCACTGGAGAACTTCTCACCATGTAGTTTGGGTTGGACATCTGGTGAAATCCTACGTCCACATCAGATCTCAGCGTCTGAAATTTGTCACCCGTGCTGATAGCAGAGCCATGTTTGTCCCGGTCCTCGGGTGGAGCACTGCTGAGCGTGTCCCCCTGAGGTTCCTTGCAGGCTTTGTCCACAGCTTCATGGCTGCACAGTTTTTCCTCTGCCAGCACCGAGTAGATCTGTGCCAGAAGCTCCATGGCACCTGCATCCAACTGGGGAGGCTGCAAATCCTCCCCATCTGCCTGCTCTCCTGCAGCACCCAGTTTGATCTGGTGGACATACTGGGCTGCCTGGTTATCTCCTAAGGCATCCAAACAAATTCTTGCGTCCACTTCTTGCCCCAGAGTAAGCAGGACCATGGCTTGTAGTAATTTGCTGCTGGGCCCAAATATCAAGTGTTTCAGTTTATATTTGAGGTTAAGGAGTTTATCGTGTGGGATCTGGGAGAGAATATTAAAAACGTCCTCAAAGCTTGGCTGGAGCTGGGCGCTCTGTGCCATCTCATCAGCTGGTGGCCCAGAGGATGGACTGAGGCAGCATGGATGGAAAAAGCATGTTATGGCACTTGGAGCCAAGGTTTGGTTCTCTGCCGTGCTCTGGGATGCTCCGGTTGCGCTTCACGTCCCTCACAAGCGATAAGAGCTCTTTGCTGCTCAGGGGCTCATCTCAGAACCTGGGTATCTAATGACAAAACAAGGGGAAATGGGTTTAAACTGAAAGAGGGGAGGTTTAGATGAGATATTAGGAAGAAGTTCTTCACTGTGAGGGTGGTCAGACACTGGAACAGGTTGCCCAAGGAAGCTGTGGATGCCCCCTCCCTGGAAGTGTTCAAGGCCAGGTTGGATGAGGCTTTGAGCAACCTGGTCTAGTGGAAGGTGTCCCTGCTGCTGGCAGGGGGGTTGGGACTGGATGAGCTTTAAGGTCCCTTCCAACCCAAACCAGTCTATGATTCTATGATTCTATGATCTCTGTCCTGAGGAACCTGCCAGAAGAAGATGGGACAACGTTCAGAAACAGCCATGTGGGGAGTTGGGGGGTTCCTGGCAAGGCTGGTGGAGCTCCCAGGCTCTCCCTCACAGCTCTCAATAATCTTACATCTATTCATTGCTTGCGGGTCTGCCAGCGCTCCACGCATTATCCCAACCCTCTTATCAAGCAAAGAGCAAGTTCTTTGCCTTCATTTCACATTCATTACAAGGGTTTGAAAAATAATTGCTGAACTAATCGTGTCTGTAGGTAAATCCAAGTGTCTGTCTCCCTCCAGGCAGCTGGTTCCAGCGATGGCAGCCAAGGAATAAAGCGCAGCCCTTTCAGATCGCTTGTGCTCTGCCAGGAGGGTTGATAACCCAACACACATCATGTGTCATGTCATTGTGGACGTTGTCTCCACATCTGATCCCTGAGCCCAGCCCTTGCACTCACCCAAAGCCTCGGACTGGGGTTAATTAAGCAGCAGAACTTTGTCCGGAGAGGAGGAGCCGGTGCCTGGAGCTGCCTGAACCTGCTGGGAAAGCTTTGGCTATTTAAAGGGAGTCCCAGGGAACGCCCCAAAATAGCTCTCAGCTGGGGAAAGTTTCTCATTTCAAGTTGTTTTGGGGTTTGGTGGCTTTGGTTTGGGTTTTGGTTGGGTTTTTTCTTCTCTCATAAAAATCCTCTAATTGCCTAATGAAGGAGCTCAGGGGGAGCTGAGGAAGCTGCCGGCTCGTTCCATGGAAACCTCTGATGAAGTGAAAGGGGAGGGGGTG